TTTAAAAGAAAAGAAAACTGAAGAAATGATACGTGACACACAGTACATTTTAAATGAGATATTATTTAAGTGTTTCCATTGATACAAACAGTGATTCTGAAGAAAGGTTGAGAATGAGTTGACTCTTCTCATGTTTTATTCTAAAATACTTATCACACCTTTATTCTAATTCTTCTAATCATTTTAGCTCCCTTGAATGACCACTATGATTTGCAACCCTAGAGACAAGAAGTGGTACAAATCTGAGTGTTTACCTTGCTTTTAGAATAGCAGATTAGAAAGCAAGTTATAGATGTTGGAATAAGATACAGGCTTCTGAGTCCGAGGCAAGACAAAACAAGGAAACCTGCCATTCATAGTACAATGGGTGAATGGGCTTCTGGGACATTAGTCTCCCTTCCTACTCATTCCTCAGATAATGATGAAGAGGAAAGACCAAGTGGGTTTTGCATGCTTAATAGGTCTGTGCCACAGCCAAAGACTCTGGTGCTTAGCAAACCCTTAATGTTAAAAGATATTGATCACGTGGATAGAGTCATATAGGAAAGATACCTTGGAGGACAACATGGATGAAGTCATCCAGACAGATACCCTGAAGGATAGCATGGATGGAGTTATCCAGACAGATACGCTGGAGGATAGCATGGATGGAGTTATCCAGACAGATACGCTGGAGGAAGGCAGTATTGACCTTCTGATTTGAGAGAAGCACAGTCTCTGAAAAAAATACAAGATAATATACATTCATAATAATGTGCAGTTTTTGTCTAGGAATATTGGCCATAGATTTTAAAGTATAAATATGATAGCAAATACTTCCATTTAACTTTTCAATTTATATACTTATATAGATGACAAAAAGGCAGATAAGTTAGTTATATGGATGGTGCATAGATGGATGACAGGTAGAGATAGGTAGATATACAGAAAATAGTTGATAGATATACATCATAGGTGATAGATATTACTAATAAATAGACTAGATATACAGTTTCAAGATAGTTAGATTTCATATAGATACAAATGAAATTATTTTGTACTTTTAGAAGGATATGTGGGAAAAAGAAAAGGTATTTATATTATTTATGGTTAATTCTTTATTTTCAATAATCTAGACCATTTCACTCTAAATTCCTCATGTATTATAAGGATTTCTGCAGAACTGATGGAGTGTCCTCTCTTTTTCTGGGAACATTTCAGAGTCACATGACAAGTGAGCATGTGGACTATGGAATTTGTCCAAAGGCAGATGCTGACTCTCTTGCTTTTTGGTCTTGTTTCTTCTGAATGATACCTACACTTTGTAAGTTGTAGAGACTTACTCTAATGAAAACTATAGGCAATGTTATTAGTAAATTTTTGGGACCTTCTCCATTTAGTATGATTTAAACATGCAAAACATTAGCTAGTATTAAAAATCTACAGAGTTATGGGGACTCGGAGATGGCTCAGCAATGAACAGTGGTCCTGCTCATGCAGAAGACCCTTCCCAGTTCATTCCCCAGCACCCACATGGAAGCAGCAAACTGCCTATAACTTCATTTCCATGTGATCCTACATATTCTTCTGGCCTTTTCAGACATTATAGGCACTTACATACAATCAGACAAAAGATTCAAATCACAAAATAAAATTTTTTTTTAAAATTTTTTTAAAAAAGGTTTTTTTAAAAGAATGCAAATTTAGGAAATACAAAAATTGCAATAATAGATTGCAGAAGCCTTTCACTAGGTAAAAGCACCGTTGGCATCTTGGTTCATCTACTAGAGGAGCTTATGGACCACAATTAGGTGGTTTATTCTTTACTTTGCATTCCAAACTACTCTTCATTCTTAAAACTGTGTCAAGTGCATTTCTCAGGTTTGTCAATATTCTGTAAAGAATATTCACATCACTTGCTAAACATCATGTAGATGTATCAAATTTCAGGTAACAGAGATTGAATCTGTTGCCATACATGAATTTCCATAATTTTACACATACCCATAAGATGAACATCATGTATAAAATGAAAGTTTAAGGAACTGAATTGGAAGGTTAAAGGGAGTGAGCATCTTAAAAGTATTTGAGGTGTGGTGCCGGATTGTCCTCCAGTGATAAGCAAGAATGAGGTCATCTCTCCAAAGAATGACTCAAGCTGTTTTAGAGCAACAGCCAAACAATGGAAGAAGTGAGAATGAATCAAAATAGCACTCAAATTTGATGTGCAGAAGCTCTCATGAATTGTTCAAATGCAGATGCAAATCTAGTTTGCTTTGCATTGGGCCCTAAGCACTGCATATCCAACAATCCCCTAGGTATTGGTGGTATTGCCTGTTGGCCCTTGGTGGTGACCCTGTTTTGAATAGCAAGAAGCGAGAGAACCATTCTAGTAGAGGATATGAGAGGTCAGAGTGACTTACATCAGTGCCTAGTAATAGTGGTTGCGCTGTCTGATGGACTGTGAAGATAAAGTTACAGAGAGTTGATTAAGGACTGAGAAAAAGGTGAATGATAACTTTGATAAGGTGTACAAGAGGAAGCAAGGGCTGTTAGTGGAATCAGAGAACACAACAGAATGAAACACCTGAGCATATTGGCTGTGATCTCATTTTTCTTGAACATAAAATTTGAAATGTTTAATATTAGACCTCCAGATGAAAATGATAATTAGCACTTGAAAATGAAAGCCCAGGGCTTAGGAAAGCTGTTCAGACAATGACACATGCAATTAAGACTTTACTATGCGTGAGTTTTTGAAAACATGCAAAGACACTATGGAAACAAAATTCTCCAGGCTTCTCAAAGGCATATCTTTGTGAGTGCATTTGTGCATAACAACATATGTTACGAGAATTATATGATAATATTTCCTTTCATCATAGTTTGTAATTCTTTAGCACGTGAAAATTGTTAGAGACTTGGGAAATATTTTCATTCAGTTTAATTTAGGGAAAAGAGAGCACACAGTGCAATGACATGTTCACAGTCTGTCAGAAGGAAGTGAGTCCAGTCGCTGAGTGTTACAGGGCTTTGCACTGCAGGCTTTCTTCCTGTTGCGGCCTTTGACACTCGGTCAACTGCTGTTAATAAAGCTCTCCACTCACGAGTTACACAACTTTCCAAGAGAGATGATAACATCTGGCCACTGTGATGGTTGGAAAGATTAAAACCGGAAAGTAGTTTTAAACTGAGAGCTAATGTTTACACAACAGGATCTTGCCATTTAATAATTTTAAATAAATTTTGGCTTTCAATAATGAACATCATTGTTCTCTGGGCTAGAATTATTTAAATAATGGTGATATTTGGCTCCTTTTGCTCCTTTGTAAGTAGGTGAGGACAGACTAGACAAGTTAAAATGCACAAAAATCTTTTATAAGGATAGCTAAAACATCATTAGATTGGCTATATTTAAAGAAAGGAGAGTGAAGAATTTTTTTATGGAACAGGATTCTCACTAACTTGGTGATGGTGATTGAGATAATTCATTGGGAAAAGTAGCTAGGAAAAATGTCCCTAAGAAGTAAGACATTTCTCAAAGAATTCTAGTACATAACAAAGAATTCCACTACATAGTAACAGCAAGTATTATAATAGCAATCAATGCTGTGCTAGATACATTGAAATCTGCAAGGTTCTAAAGAGTAAAAGACAAAACCAGTAAGGTTTGACTCTGTGTTTTATGGTTGGGTAGAGTAAACTGCTTTTAGAAACAAAATAGATCTGTGATGGGCTACAAACAGCATCTATAAATGAAGAGACAATGGAGTCAGTATAAACTAGAAAAAATACATCTTAGCGCACACTGTGCCTTTCTAGGAAAGAATGGTCAAGGCAAGCACATTGTGAGGACAATCTGTCCAGGGCACAGCAAAAAAGCTGTGAAACAGTGTGATGCTCATTGGCAATCTGACTTCCTTTCAGCTCATTTGTGTTTATAGACAATGTTAAGAAAACCTATGATTTAGATAGGTTGATTATAGTTTTGCTTCTGAATTTCAGTTCTCCCTAAATTTGCCATTTATCACTGTTTAAATCTGTCCTTTAACTGTCCCTTCATCTCTTCAGTGACTGTCCTACCTATTAGGTTATTGGCTTTTAATTTTGCACTGTTGCTGGGGTGCACCTCAGTTTAGGATTGATTTAGCAATGCCCAGTGTCAAAATTTATGAGATTTACTGTTGTGTTCAAGCTCCAAATGAAAAAAAGTATGGGGGTTTGTTGTTGTTTGTGTTTTACTCTGGCTCTTTTGGGAGACCCTCCACCCAGCTCCCAAATAAATCACATGGAGGTTTATTACTAATAAATGCCTGGCCTTAGCTTGGCTTGTTGCTTGAAAGATTTTATTAACTTTAAATTATCCCATTTACCTCTTGCCTCTTGGCTTTTTCCTTTTTTTACTTCTGTTTATCTTACTTTCAGTGTGGGGCTGGGCCCTGATGTACTCCTCCTTCTCTGGTTACTTTTTTCTCCCAAATTTATCCTTCTATTTATTCTCGCTGCCTGCCAGCCCTGCCTGTCCTTTCTCTTGCCTTGCTATTGGCCATTCAGCTCTTTATTAGACCATCAGGTGTTTTAGACAAGCACAGTAACACAGCTTCACAGAGTTAAACAAATACAACATAAAGAATGTAACACATCTCTCCATCATTAGACAAATGTTCCACAGAATAAACAAATGTAACATTTCTTAAAATAATATTCTACATTTCCTGCTTTCTTTTTTTTTTTTTTTTTTTTTTTTTTTGGTTTTTCGAGGCAGGGTTTCTCTGTAGCTTTGCGCCTTTCCTGGGACTCACTTGCATTTCCTGCTTTTTATCTAAATTAAAAAAAGGTTTAAACTTTAACATAGTAAAACTATACACAACAAAACAGTTATCAAGTAAGAATTACATTTACAATATTTTGTCTATTTGTAGTTAGCATATTTAGAGAAAATAATGTATTATCTATCCTATGTTAGTGACTCCAAAGTTTTACACCTAATTTGCTTTCTATCATAACTAAGGAAATCTGCAACAATAACTATCTAGTCTTTAACTTCATCGAAGACTCAGGAGGATGTAATACTATCTGATGGAGAAATATGGCTGCCTGGACAGTCACCCAAAGTTCCTCTGCAAAGTTGGGGTATCCATCTTTAGCCTACAGGCCTAGAATATCTGGCAAACTTTTCAGTGAAGCAGGAAATTTGAAGGACTGTCCTGCCTTGTATTGGCAAAGTTTGTCAGTTGCTTTCTTCTGTGTCCTGCAAAATATCTGGCAGACTCTTCTGTGAAGTAGGAATTTTGAAGGACTGTCCAGCCTTGTTTTGGCAAAGTTCAACAGTCTTTTTCCTGTGTGTCCTGCATGTCCAGTCTGCACAGAACATTGCCAGCAGTCAAAAGCATGAGCAGTTTCTTTGCCCAGTGGCTAACCTTGCTACAATGAAAGCGAACTCCATAAGGAGTTTCACCAATACCCAGAATCTCTGAAGTAAATTGGTACCTGCCTAGAGCAGATGCATCTCATTGTTGTTGCTAGAGTTTTCCTGCCTGGCCCACAGTCAGGACAAATCTCTGACACCCGCCAGTCCCAAGCCGCTTAAACCCGATCAAATAAACACAGAGACTTATATTGGTTTCAAACTGTATGGCCGTGGCAGGCTTCTTGCTAACTGTTCTTACAGCTTAAATTAATCCATTTCTATTAATCTATACCTTGCCACGTGGCTTGTGGCTTACCGGTACTTTACATCTTCCTTATCCTGATGGCGGCTGGCAGTGTCTCTCTGACTCAGCCTTCCACTTCCCAGCTCTATTCTCCTCCTTGTCCCGCCTATACTTCCTGCCTGGCCACGGGCCAATCAGTGATTTATTTATTGACCAATCAGCAACACATTTGACATACAGACCATCCCACAGCACCTCCCCTTTTCTTTTCTTAAAAAGGAAGGTTTTAACCTTTACACATCTCCAAAGTCAGCTTGGTATATTTGGGAATTTGGGCGTAGCTTCTCTTACTACTTCCTGCTGGAGGGGGGCGCTGTATCTTCAGGGGAAACAAAGAAAATTTTAGGATTATGGAGTAGTCCATGAGGGTGTATTCGTCTGAGCCAGTTGCCTTGAAATGGTTCTGGATGTTGAATCATCTGGGCCATGGTGTCATCGGAGACCTTTCAGGGGGTCTTGGCTGGTCAAACCTGATGTATCTTACTCTGGAACAAATCCATAGCCTCTTGCTTTCTGTGGAAACAAAAGAGACTCTTTTCCAAAGCAACATATCCTTACATCCAAATTTTGAAGTCAAAGTATCTTTAAAATATACATACTGGTTTAACTCAGCTTCCTTTACAATCAAATATCTCTCTGTAGTTAAGAATCCCAAAGACAACACAATCCAGACTCTCTGTGTAATAGTCATCTCTACGTGGCTTATTTTTTATATTAATTTTACTGTCTCTTTAAAGACTTTATTTTTTAAAACCATGTATTTGTTTCTATACTGTATATATCACCTTTTTTTGTCTCTTTCAAGCCTACGTATATTTTACACACATTTTAAACTATTACATCTGAATCTGTCTTATTGTGAATCTGTTGCTTTAAGCTGCAGCAGCTGTGGCTGCTGGCTCCGCCCACCTCAGCTTCCCAACATGGCGGCATTATGCTTACCACCAGCTCTGGGAGCCATCGTGGGTCTATGTTTTTATACAAGCAGCATGTAGCCCAGAAACCTCTTTTTTTGTTTTGTACTAGCAAAGGCTAAATCCACAATGTAGCTTAATGTGCCACTTGCAGAGGCCTCATTCCCGCCATACTGCAGATCGAACGCGCACGCCAGCAACCCGCCAGTAGCTCAAACCGGCAGCTGCTGCTCATTTGAGAGAGACAATTAGGAAGCTGTTTTTAGCTCCGTTTTAGAATCTTTTTTCTCAGGTTTTAGGTGGAAACTCTTGCCACCACGTTGGACGCCATTTGTAGCTGGAGTTTTCCTGCCTGGCCCACAGTCAGGGCAAATCTCTCTCACCCGCCAGTCCCAAGCCGCTCAAACCCGATCAAATAAACACAGAGACTTATATTGGTTACAAACTGTATGGCCGTGGCAGGCTTCTTGCTAACTGTTCTTACAGCTTAAATTAATCCATTTCTATTAATCTATACCTTGCCACGTGGCTTGTGGCTTACCAGTACTTTACATCTTCCTTGTCCTGATGGCGGCTGGCAGTGTCTCCTCACCCAACTTCCTGTTCTCTCAATTTTCCTCTCTGTTAGTCCCGCCTATACTTCCTGCCTGACCACTGCCAATCAGTGATTTATTCATTGACCAATCAGCAACACATTTGACATACAGACCATCCCACAGCACATTGTCATGAAAAAACTTAGGTATAGATGAATTTCTAAATGGTCTTATTAAATAAAAAACACAGCCAAATATAGGGGTGAAAGCCTTAGAGATCATGGAAATAGAAATAGCCACCAGACAACTTTATCTCACCAGCTCTGAAGATTCTAAATGTTAGCTACTTCCTGTCTACCCACATCTTCATATGCCTTGCTTTTCTGCCTTTTCATTGGCTCTCAGCCCAGCTACCTCATTTCCTTGTCACTGCCTGTCTGTATAGACCTCCAGGTCTCTATGATTGGTACTGGATTAAAGGCGTGTGTCACCATGCTTGGCTCTATTCCCAAGTATGGCCTTGAACACACAGAAACCCTGCCTGCTAAGTGATCAGATTAAGGACATGTGCTGCCTGACCTTGTTTACTTAAAATGACTGACTTTTCCCCCCTGATCTCCAGGCAAGCTTTATTTATCAAAGCACAAATAAAATATCACCACACTTATGTTAACAAAACATTTTAAATGCCACATTCTATCGGTCTTAGAAGTATTTGGAAACCATTGCTCTATCTAAACTATGTCTCTGTAAGATCTAGAAAGCATGCCTAACATATCTACAAATTTGATTGTTATAAATGACTAACTACTGACCTGTGTTTCTTGATTATCTAAAATAGTTCATAATAATAGTTTTCAAAAACTAGAATTTTACCTTGCATTTTGAAATGAACTGCATAGGTACAATACCTTAAACAAGAGTAGAAACATATATACACTATGTTGTAACAAAAATAACCTTAAATTTGTATCAATATACAAAAATCCTTTAATAAGAGTAAAAGCATATATACAGTGTGTTGTAATAAAAATTACCTTAAATTTATGATATGCAAAAGTTCCTACAAATATAAATACCTGAAATCTATAGTTGTCTTTAAGTTTACAGTAGATTCAATAATCTACCCTATTATTTAAAGTAGATTTAGTAACCTACCTTTTTATCTCATCATTTCCATATTCCCCTAAATGTTAACAAGCATCCATAACCCACTAAATAACTAAAAGCCTCCCATACCCATCTTGGGAATGTGGGCATAGTATTCTCCAAATTGCTTCCAGCTGTCTGTGGATAAAGCATCTTTAGGGTCCCAGAGAGAAAATTTGAGATAATCGCCAAGTTTTGGGAAGACAAGCTAAAATCTTTATTGATAGATATCACCTGTCAAGGTTCAGGAGATCTCCCTTGATCAAACCTGATCCATATTAACCTGGAACAAATCCACATCTTCTTGTTTCCTTTGGAAACAAAAGCAAAACCTCTTTCCCAAAGTAAAACTTTTTTAAAATTTCTTTTTTAAAGTTAAGGCATTCCTAAAGTATCCAGGTTGGTTCAATTAGGCAGTCCACTTCACAATCCCATGTCTCTTAGTAGCTATTGTTTGCTTATTAACATTCAAAAATTCAAAATCAACACAATAACATACAGGATCCAGACTCCCTGTGTATTTCCCATCTTTACATGGCTTTTTCTTTTATATTACTTTTACCCTCTCTCTAAAGACTTTACTAGTTCTAAACTATTTCTTCTTTCTATAACTGTTAATACCCATATTCATTCTTTCTTAAGTCTATATACATTGTAAAACACACTGGAACCTGTTTAAATTTTTTTTTTACAATCTGGATCTCTTTTACTGCATTTCTTTTAGTCTATTTTGACTGTGTGAGCAAACCTTTAGACTACTAAGCATCACGGACCTCCACAGGGCTTTGGTGGCTGCCTCCACCTGCTTTTGAGGTCATGAAAGCCAAGCCTAAAACTTGTGGTCAGATTGGAGGTGCATGACCAGGAAGTACATTCAACCTTTCAAGCTGTAGGAAGCCTGTGGCATGACTCACAATTGGTGTTAATAATAAACACCCAGAGTCATATATAGGAGTAAATGCTGAAAGATCAAAAAGACAAAAGAGTTAGCCACAGCCACTTCTTGCCTCACCTACTCCTCAGCCTGAAAGGGGGGCCAAGCTCCTGTCTCCACCCACCTTATATTCCTCTTTCTGCCCAGCCATGTCATTTCCTGTTTCCTCCTCCTTAGTGTTGGGATTAAATACATGTGCCTCCCAAGTACTGGGATCAAAGGCATGAGATCCCAAGTGCTGGGATTAAAGGTGAGTGCCACCACTGCCTGGCCTCTATGGTTAACTAGTGGCTAACTTCTCACTCTGATCTCCAGGCAAGCTTTATTTGTTAGAGCACAAACAAAATATCACCACAGAAGCCAGTACCTGCTTTGCCACAAGCAGTTTTTACTTAGTTTGCTGATTTTATTTATCGCAGCTGGCTTAATGGCTCCACTTCTTTTTTTTTTTTTTTTGGTTTTTTTTCGAGACAGGGTTTCCCTGTGTAGCTTTGTGCCTTTCCTGGAACTCACTTGGTAGCCCAGGCTGGCCTTGAACTCACAGAGATCCGCCTGGCTCTGCCTCCCGAGTGCTGGGATTAAAGGCGTGCGCCACCACGGCCCGGCTGGCTCCACTTCTTAAAGGAGCAGAGCTGTGTCTTTTTTTTTTTTAAGCTTTCTCATGCACTATGGAAATTTGACCCCCATGTTGGGCACCAAATTGTTGTTCAGCTTTCTATGGCCCCACATTGGGCACCAAATGGTTGTTGTTCATTTTTTACTCTTTGGCTCTTTTGGGGGCCCTCCACTGAGCACCCAAATAAATTACATGGAAGCTCATTATTCATTATAAATGCCTGGCCTTAGCTTGGCTTGTTGCTTGCCAGCTTTTCTTGACTTTAAATTATCCCATCTACCTTTTGCCTCTGGGCATTTTTCCTTTTCTTACTTCTGTTTATCTTACTTACACTCTATGGCTGGCTGAGTGGCTGGGTGGCTGGTCCCTGATGTCCTTCTCCTTCTCTGATTACTTCTTTTTTCTCCCATGTTTCTCCTTCTGTTTATTCTCTCTGCCTGCCAGCCCTGCCTATCCTTTCACTTGTCTTGTTATTGACTGTTCAACTTTTTATTAGACCATCAGGTGTTTTAGGCAGGCACAGTAACACAGCTTCACAGAGTTAAACAGATGCAATGAATGCAGTACATCTTTGCATCATTAAACAAATGTTCCACAGCATAAACAAATGTAACACATCTTAAAATAATATTCTAAAGGAGTTGGCAAGACAGCTTAGTGGTAAGTGCACCTGCTACTCTTCCAGGGGACTTGAGTTCAGTTCCCAGCACCCATGTCTGGCAGCTCCTAACTGCCTGTAACTCCAGTTCCAAAAGATATAGTGCCCTCTTCTGACCTCTGCAGGTACCTCCTGCCTCATGCACATACTCCCCTTTACCTACACAACTAAAAATATTATATTTTTTAAAGTAACAAAAGAAATATATGAATATACTTAATCTTTAAAAAAATTCATATTATAAAATCAAAAAAAAGTATTTAAGGTGACATCCAATGGAAGATCAAAGAACTGTTTTACTTACAATGTAATTTTATTAGCATGATATCTTTGTCTTTCTAGATTTTGTGTTGTTGGGGTAGTTTCATTTGGATTATTTTTTTAATTTTATTAATTAATTTTTTTCATTTATTTACATACCAACTACAGTTTCCCATATCTCCCCTCCTCCTATTCCCCCTGTCTCCCACCTACCCCCCCCATTCACTCCTCCTCTGTCTCCATTCAGAAAGGGGCAGGCCTCATATGGCAGTCAACAAAGCATGGCACATCAAGTTCAGGCAGGACCAAGCCTCTCCCCCTGAATCCAGGCTGGGCAAAGCAACTCAGCATGGGGAATAGGTTCCCCAAAACCAGCTTCCCAGGTCCTGATCCCACTGCTAGGGGCCCCACAAACAGACTCAGCCACACAACTGTCACACACATGCAGAGGGCCTAGGTTGGTCCCATGCAGGCTCCCTAGCTGTTAGTCCAGAGTCCTTGAGCTCCAAGGACCTCAGGTTAGCTGTTTCTATGAATTCCTCTGTCATGACCTTGTTCCCACTGGCTCATACAATCTGGTCCCCCCTCTCTTCAGCAGAACTCCTGGAGCTTGGCCCAGTGTTTGGCTGTGGATCTTTGCATCTGCCACCATCAGTTACTGGATAAAGACTCTCTAGTGACAATTAGGGTACTTACCAATCTGATTACAGGAGAAGACCACTTCAGGCACCCTCTCCACTATTGCTAGGAGTCTTAGCTGGGATCATCCTTGTGAATTACTGGGATTTTCCCTGGAACCAGGTTTCTCCCTAACCCCCAAATGCCCCCCCAAAAGACATCGCTTTCTTTACTCTCCCCCTCTATTTCACCCCTAACCCACCCAACCAGATTCCTCATGCCCTTCCACCCCATTTACCCAGGAGATCTCTTCTATTTGCCTTCCCAGGGAAATCCATGAATCCCTCTTTGGGCCCTCCTTATTACCTAGCCTCTCTGGAGCTGTGGATTATAGTCTGGTTATCCTTTATTTTACACTTACTATCTACTTATGAGTGAGTACATACCATGTTTGTCTTTCTGGGTCTGAGTTACCTCACTCAGAATGATTTTTTTCTAGTTCCATCCATTTATGCGCAAATTTCATGATGTCATTGTTTCTTACAGCTAAGTAATATTCCATTATGTAAATGCACCACATTTTCTTCAGATTTGAATTATTTTAATGTGAAAAAAGCAAAATATACTAACCACAGTGAACTTTTGAGAGACTTTTGGATATTCTAAGTACTGTCTTAGAGAATTATATGGTTACTTAGACGCACAAAATAACATCTGTCAAAGGAACTACAAACCTAAATTGGAAAATGAAGAAAAATGAGAAAATACAATTAAAAATATAAAGTACAAATATCTTAAATCTCCAAATAATTTTCATAACCAGAAAAATGTAGTTTGTCAAGTTAGAAATTCCTTTATCCTTGGATGACCAAAAACGACATCACTTTGGCTGGAATACAGGCTGAACCTTGAAAGATGGTCATTCAGAAGAAGTGGCCTGCAAAATCTGTCCAGAAGAATCAATAATAAAATTAATACTGATGTATATATACTAATATAATATACTTCTGAACACATACATTAAGAAAACAATAGTAAGAATATGAGATGAGATTATGATTTTGTGTTATGACATATGTGGGGGGCAGGTTTGAAAGAACCTGTAAAATTAAGCCCATTCATGGTGCTGGAGGAATTCTTGACTCCACGGTATTTTAGGACTGACTTATCCGTGTCTTTGCTGCCTGTTAGAGTTTAGAGCAATTATCTGAGATAAATATTAACTTAGCTGGATGTCACTAGTTCTACGAATAGAATGATCAAATTTATGGTAGAATTTGTTTGTGTATTCTCTTAAGCAGATTTCCTTTATTTTAAATATATTTAATAAAAATTTTAAATCTTTATATTTCCTTAAAACAATATTCATTTATTTTATATAACTGGGGTGGTGGTTGTTGTCTTGTCCCATCTTTCAAATAATAACATTCATTTTAATTTATTTATAAAACTATTAATCTATCTTTAGTTTGCATTTTCTTATTCTCCATCAAGATATTTCTTTCCCTTTGAGAGCCGTGTTTTCAGCTGGACAGTGGTGCTGGATGCCTTTAATTCCAGTACTCAGAAGGCAGAGGTAGGAGGATTTCTGTGAGTTTGAGGCCAGACTGGTCTATAAAGCAAGTTCCAGCACTGCCAAGAATGTTACACAGAGAAACTGTCTTGAAAAACCAAAACAACACAAACAAACAACAACAACAATAACAACAACAAAACAAAAACAGAAAAAAAAGAGTCATGTCTTCTCTCAAGGAAGGTTTTCTATGTATTCTCATTAGGTAACTGACTTTTTCTTCATGCTGTTCTACACAAATGATTCACTAAACTATAATTCAACTTTCTTCTTATTCCCCATATAAAAGTGTGCTGAGAGTTATATTGTATTCACTCACATATTTTAGGTTCAGTGAACTGTAGCTTTATTAAGAATTTTATGTTGAATTTTAAATTTACTACAGGACAGAGAAACTGTAATTATTAATATAAATGAAAGCCATTTTCTTTCTTGATTGGTTTTAGAAGAAAGGATTATAATATTTATATTCATATTTAACATTAAAATATACTAATATTTAGTATCAAGTAATTCTAAAAATGACATTTATAAATGGATCATATGTCTTCCCTCTATTAATTAAATTGCGAAAAAATACCTGCTACATGATGGAAACACACACACACACAAGCACACATTCCCAAGAGTCTTTGTTTTTTTGCTTATCTTACACAAAGAAGTAGTCATAGTTTGTTCTCTAGACTATTGATTTATCAATATTTGTAGATTGCCAAGCATTGGAAAATGGAAATAGCACCTCCATCGGGGCAGAAGGTAGATTTGCTGGTTGTCCAGAAATTGTGTGTCCTTTTGAGCCAAAGCCATGATCAGACATTGGGATGAGCCTGGGCTGGTCTTCTGTCATCAGTGCTGCTCTTGGGCTCTTGGGCATCAAGCTGCAGATATTGCAAGTCAGAGAACCAGTACCAGAAAATGGCCACACTCACCATGCTCTTATTGCAGTGAATGACAAAGTCCTTTTGCTCCACACTGAACAAGACTGTCTTCTGGCTATGTCCATGAAACTCTGGCAGCCTGGCTTGTTGGCTAATAAGTGCAAAATGACAGAATGTTCAAAGATCCTGGCAGTGGGTCTCAAAACCTTCTTACACGTATAAAGTAAATCCCATTCCTTACACTTAACGTGGTCACTTGTCTATACTGAGATGTTTTTGTTTGAAGCAATATGACAGTAAAGAAACTCAGGAATAGGACATGTTTATCTTTTTTATTTCTACTGTACCATATACCTTGCTTCTTTTTCACTGATTGGCAATACTTCTGTCTATGCCATGTCATTCTGCCTTAAAAAATTATCACTAACAATCAACTTCTACGTGATATTTATGCTCCCTGTCCTAGAGGCATATTTTGAGAAATCCAGCTCTGAATTGTTGGAAAAATTTGAAAAAGTACATACAAATGTTCTAACCAAATGGTCTTTGTTATAAGACATACGGGAGCTGGGCTCGGTGATTAGTCATCATCTACTAAACGAAGAGTTTCTATATGCACAGGGTGTCCAGAGAAATCTGGCTGCAGTAGTTGTGGCAGAGATATTAATGAAGTAGGCATGAATTCTATGAACAGAGAACTTCTGGTCTATAAGACTAGATAAACATGTGAAACAATGATTTTTGAGGGAAAAACTGTGCCCTAAAAATCACGGTAGCTATCATGATACAGCAGTGAAAGGAAGCAGATGTTTCTAGAGATCAGCAGAATGTGGCGGCTCTGGTAACTAAGAGGACTCAGGGATCCAGGACTAAGCATTCTTGCAGCCAAACAAAAGTATTTCATTAGCACATGCACATGCTGCCATAAAACTTGTGTTTTTCTTAATTGGCAATAACCACGTGGATTTGCTGTAAAGTGAATCCTAGAAACACTTAGCAGGGACAGTTTCAGAATATTATGATTTTACCAGTTTATATTCCTATTAAATTTGTCTTATAATTACACCTGAGATCTCAAACAAAATTTATTATCTGAAATCTGATAAAATTGCACACTGTCACCAATTACACATATTCTCAGATACGCTTTTTTAAAATACACCATAGTTTTAACTTTTGGATTTATGTGTTAGATAAAATTATTAATCACATACCACATTTTTTTTTAACATTTAGTTCAGAAAGTGGTCACTGTTTCTTCCTCAACATTTTTCTACACTGCAAGCAAAGTATAAAATAAATCTTTTCCTTCCTTTAAAGACATAAGAAAAGTTCGTAATATCAAACCTATTTGCTCATATTGAATAAAATCATGTCTAGAATATTAAAGAGAAAACATAAAAAACTGCCCCTGTGTAGTTAGTGCAAACACAGAGCTACACTGATGTTTAAGTTGTGTGCATTTTCTCTTCAATTCTGTATCACCCACCAATACACAGTTCATTCCAGAAGATAAATCCAAGACCAAAATGCCAAACATAGCTTTACATTTCCCAATTATATATTATCTTAATATATTTAAATGGTATTATTACTTCATGGGTGAGCATTATTTCATCCCAAGTAAACATGTGTATTCTTTGCTGCCTGTCCCACATGGTTGTTTCTGGAAATACTAAGTGTCATAACAGAAAATGGAAAGCACTCAGCTTGGTAAAAAATCCACCTGCTCAAGTGCTTCCCAGGAAAAATGACTTGGATTTTCTTAAATCAGATGCCAAGAATTCTTGAAATTCTCATTTAATAGATCTTAAAATCTGTAGTCAAGTGGCGTCATACCACAATGGGGAAGCGACATGTACAATCTTGTAATTTTTTTAGCATTATGTGGAGTGTAAATGTTGGAGAGCAACAATGTCTTGAGCTGGAGATTTAGTCAAGCTGTTGTGAATACTAGATGAAAGCTCACACTCAGACTGTCTCCTCTCCATAACCCTCTCTGAGAACCCAACTTCCACGAGTAGGTGTCATTGGTATGTAAACTGGAAAGTGTGAGACGTTTGCCACAGCTGAAATGACATAAGCCTTGTGTAATTTTAAGTAATAGCATATAAAAATTTTTTGTGTGTTTATTAAGAACCTCTGCACTCTTCACCTAATTTTGTTGCATAGTTTTTGACGGCAAATACAATTTCAACCCGATTTCTTTCAGCTTACCTTTATTGCCATGCCAAGATCAATATGTGTTGCCCCTTTGATGCAGGAAGAACCACACTGTGAGTTAAGTTCTGCACCATGCCTATGGCTTTTATCACTGTTTTGTGAAATACGGCCAAACATTGGATTAACAAACTTTGCTTCATGCCGAGCTATTTCCATTCATGCAAAGTATCAAATAGGTTAAAAAACTGCTAGTCTAATATGCATATATATCTGTGTATTTTTTGTCCCGTGTCTCCAATGCCACATTTTAGTAATTGATATTTATTACTTAGCTGGAAAATATGCATTAACTTAAATGTTCTCTTAAGTATTTACTTTATGTCAGCTTTGTATTTTCCTGCTATCCTATTTTATTACCCCTTCATTTTACATTGTTTTATTTATCATCAATTACATGAATTATTGATGGTATCGTAACTTGGCAGTATAAGTCATGTTTCATCATCTCTGCTCAAGGCAATTATTATTAACATGATAGATTGATGAATGTGCCACTTGTAAGTTTCACAATCAATTACACAGACCTGGGACAGAGTTGAGATGCTCAGTCAGGATTGGGAATTGCCACACTTCCTTATTCCAGCTCCTTTCCCCTGTGGCTAACAAAAGGGCTCAGCAATGAAACATGGCTTCCAGAGATGAAAGTGTGAGGGGATGATGGTTGGGTATTTAAACTATTCTGGTGCTCCACTCTTCTGTTTCGAAGTGCAGCCTTTACAGAGCAGCCTTGCAGTCCATGACCTTCACTTTGTTCCTTCATACTAAGAAGTAATGAATTCCCATTGTTTCTACTCCCATGGATGTTTCACCATCCTTTATAGGTTTTCTGCATATTGCCTATTTTTCCTACTGATAGCCTAGTCAGTAAATCATCTTTAACTGAATTCTGAATATACCATCCCCTTCCTGTTGGGATTTTAACTGGTATACAGTCTTCCTACTTATCCCAAATCCTGCCCACCCAGATTGGTGCCTTTGTGTAAAACAATAAAAATTCTTTGTTTATCTAGCCCTACTCAGGATGTAGGCATAGTTTAGTAAACACGGATTACTTACTTTTCTCCATCTAGTTTTTTATCCTGTGTTTCCTTTTACAGATATAATGGAAGAATAGAAAAATAAAATCAAAATTGAAAAATAGAAAATCAAAGCAAGGAATGGAAGGGTCACTGCTTCTCTTACCATGTGTTTATACTGCAGATTCCTTTACTGATATAATTGCACATTAAGAAAGTGGGGAGATGGCTCTGTACTTAAAGCTTTGCTATGTTAGCAGCAAGCTTGAAGACCAGAGACACTGGATCCTCAGAATTCATGTAAATGCCAGTGAGCCTGGCAGCCCAACTGTAATTCTGGAGCTGGAAAGCAGGAGGCAGAGAATCTCCTGAGTAAGCTATTTAGCTATATGAGCAATATCACAGAGCTCGGGGTTCACCTGAGAGAGCCCACATTTATGAGTAGGCCAAGAGCAAGGAGTGGAAACTCCCATTAGCCTCAGGCTCCATACACATGCATTCTTATACTCATAACCTACATTCACCCACAAGTGCACTTACACACATCTGAACACATGCATATATACACACACACATACTCACACACACACACAAACACACACACATCACATACATACATACATACACATAAAAAAAACAATGTGGTTCCATTTATTAATTTTTTTCAGTTACAATTTTACATGAATTCATTCAGACAAAGTAACACCATAAAGTTTAAGCATTTTAATCTCAAGAAAGCAATGGGTCTTGTGTCTGGTTTTCTGAAGAAAATATTGTTGTCTTTTATATTTGTTCATTTATTTTTCATTGTATAATTACATAATTATGTGAGAAAGTTCACAACTTGCATAGGTGTTTTTTCCATGACGGAAACTCACACAAGTACCATAAACTACTATCTGTTACAAAGTAGAAATTTGCAAGAACTTGAGAATAATCAGGTCAGAAAACTTTGGATGTTTCCTGGAAAGCAGGTGGGAGATGGATGAATGAGGGAGACTGAGGGAGACATTCATTAGGACAGAGAGTGTTAGAGGGGAAATCAGCATAAGGTGGTTGTGGAAAGTGACTTGTAGGTACAAGGAAAGAGCTCCAAGGCAGTTGGGAAATGCCTGGGATGCATTCTTATTAACTTGTTTCTTCATTTTCATAGTGCAGTCACATTTTAATGTTTACTGTAATTATAATCAGGGACCGGTCTCTCTTCCATTGTTTCTAATTACTTCCTCAATAGCACAAGCTAGTGGTATAACTATAACAATCATCTATGGAACAACTCTAGATTCCCAATCACAGCTCAGCCCTTTGCACAAGAATAGCTCACTTAGCATCTCTGCTTTAACACCAAATCAGCATTGCAAATTCAAAAAGGGTTCCCTGGTCGACCTGTGGTCCTCACTATCTCAGCCAATCACCCATCCATTACTCCAGCCCCAAATCTTAAAGTTCTGCTTTGTAGTTCTGTATTGTATTCAATTAATCAGGAAATTTTGTAGATCCATAATCTAATCATATGATATAAACTCCATGCTAAACCCTGTGGTCAGAAATGTCACCTTTCACTGTTAATGGAAGTTATTGGTCTTTTGGAATGCATATATTCACTACTAGACAATGTTGAACTCTTTCCAAAACTACATTTTCCTAGTATTGAAAACAAAATGCCTCCTGTAGTGGGAAGTTTCTCCGGTTCCACCTGGCCCCACAGTCCTGCAGCTGCTTATAAAATAATCACTCAGAGGCTTATATTAATTACCAACTGTATGGCCTATGGTAGGCTTCTTGCTAGCTGACTCTTCCTTCTTAAATTAACCCATTTCTATTAATCTATAAGTTGCCACGTGGCCATGGCGTTACCGGTCTGCGGGCATCTTGCTGCTCCTTGCTCAGTGGCCAGTGTCTTCCTCACTCCACCCTTCTTCTCTCTGTCTCCCTACTTGGATTTCCTGCCTGGTTATAAACTTTCTTGTCATAGGCCAAAACATCCTTATTCACTAACCAATGGAAACAGCATATATTCACAGCATACAGAAAGATATCTCACAGCAGCTTCCCTTGTCCAATATCCTCAAGAATAGTCATTTAAACTGTAATCTTTCTGGTAATCATGCAGGGACAACACACTGTGGTTTTAATTCATATTTTTCAATCACAGAAGCAGAGCATTTTCTTCATCCATTTATCAGCCATTCACTGAACATTTTTCATGGCTTGTCTGGAATCACATCACTTGTTGAGACTAATGAAATAAAAATGTACATCCATGTGTGTCCCTTTGCTTTTCAAAAAATATAAGAAAACTAGAATGTTTACATTTTCATTCTTGCAGACTTTGGATTTGTGTGATAAATGAAGCACCCATTTGACATTCCACTTATTTATACTCCACATGCAGTATTTCACTTTGTGCAATTCTATTTTAATCTTCCCAATTCAGTTATGATAGCAATTTTTATGTTTATATTATAAAACACAGATGCAATAATACATGATTCCTGCATCAATCTGAACTCTCCTTTCCAACTGCAGTATAGAAAATGTCAACCTCTAATAATAGTATCTGTCAATTTATTTAAAAGCACCCTAAGAGGGATTATCTTTGGGTAAGGTTAAGACATTAACCTCTAAGTACTTCATTGTCATTAGTTGAAATTAAAACATTTACTTTTTCCTAACACATTTTAACAGATATTATTTCTGTTTTTTCTTTTAATTTTGAGTTTATAATATAACTACATGATTTCTTCCTTTTCTTTCCTCAAAACTCTCCTACATTTCCCTCGTTTTCTTTCAAGTTCATGTCCTCTTTTTTCATTAATTGTTATTACAAGAATATATGTAGGTATATATACATGTTTCTAAATATACATATCTATGTTTATATACATAGATACATATATAATACATACATATACATATGTAGAAATGTATATACATATATGTAGAAATATATACATATATGTAGATATAGATATATATACATATATTTCTAAATGTAACTTGCTCAGTCTGCATAATGTCACTGGTATGTATGTTTCAGGGGTGACCACCTTGGTATTGGATAACTGATTGGTGTGCTCTTCCCTGGGGAAGACGATTTCTCCCACTCTCAGCCTTCCTGAGTTGCATGTCGTTCTTTGTGTAGCGTTGAGGCCTTGTAGCTTCCCATACATATTAGTATCATTGTATGTACTGAGCAGGTTAAATATAGGAAATATATATGCATATCTATACATATATAATCATGTTATAATAATAAATGAAAAAAGAGGCCATGAATTTGAAGGAGAACTATGAGGGGTATATGGGAAGGTTTAGAGGAAGGATGGAAATGGAGAAATATTTTAATTATGTAATAATTTCAAAAAGAAAAACAAAAAATCAATTTACTATGATTATTAAATATATTTACAAATACATTTAATAATTTACTGTAGTGATCAAATTACTATTAAATTTATTCATTACATTTTGTTTATGGAAGATGTTATTTCATTGCCTATTTCTCATAATTTTGTGAAAGTTAATTAAAATAATAAAATCATAACATCCAAGGAGATCAGTAAGAGTTTATTGTTACTCTTTTTCATAGTTTTGTTTTGATAACTTTCTATATGATAACTTAGATATCCTAAAACACTCCCCAAAAATCAAACAAACAAACAAAACTATAGAATTGGGGCCCTGAAGAATTATTTCATCATTCTGTTTAAGACATGAGTATTTTAACTTCAAAATGTTTTCCACAGTACTTGGTATTTTAAATATTTTTACAAGTGTGTGTGTGATATAAATGTGGCTGTTTGCAATGTGTGGGCACACCCTTAGGAGCGTGCATGCGGAGGCCCCAGGTTGACGTAGAATGCCTTCTTTAATGGTTTTCCACCTTATCTATTGAGTCAGTGTCTCTCACTGGAGCAGGTTGACTGTGGTGGGCTCTTCTAGGTAGCCAGCTTGCACTGGGGAGTGTCACCTCCCAAGTGCTGGGATTGCAGATGGGCCACCAGGCCTGCCTGGATTTTACACACTTGTGGTGGGCTCTGATCTCCTGTCCTCACACATGTAAGGCGAGCGCTTTATACAGCGAACCATCTCTCCAGCCCCAAATACTTTCCAAAGTTCTGTTTTGAAGCTGGTGTAGAAACAGTAACAATTTGCTGTGTTTATATGTGATGTAAAAAAAATAATAACAGCAAAAAATAAATCCACCATGGTAGGGGTTATTTGTATCGCCTCTAGTTCTGGTGTTTCTTGTTTTTCTGATAAACCAAAGAATAGCCTGTAAAATTCAGGTCTTCAAATTTTTTTTCTTATCAACTCATTTTCTTCTAAGCACTTCCATTTTCTCTTCTCCTCTCAGCCCTCCATTGTAATCTCACATTCACAGTGAAATTTGCTGTCACTGGACCATACTGGTTCATTCATGCTGAAAATTACGTTGCAGTTGTTATCTGTACTGCACAGGTTACGAGCTGTAGTTTATTCCCCTAATCACCAAGTAGGGCCGGGTCTATCAATCTTAACTCCCCTGCAAAGCTGTTTTCTTATGCTTCCTTGCTCATCACACGGGGCCTAATTGCATTCTGCAATGCAGTAAACATACCATGAAGTTGCTTCAATGTAATTAAAAAGGGTGGCACTCACATATGTCACGGGGGAGGGGTGGGGGGGGGTGGGGGTTGTTGTCACAATAGTTCTATCTAAAAGAAGGATGGGGAAGTGGAGGGCAAGTTACTGTGCCAATCACTGAGGGTAAATAGCAACATTGTTTCTTCTTCAGCAAATAGTTAGCTAAAGTTTCTTCCCAGAAGAAATACTAAAAATGCTTTGCTTCACTTTTTTGGGTTTTGGTTGCTTATTTTTTATCTTTAAAAAAAATGGTACCAGAAAGCACCTTGCAAGCTTCCCAAAGGAGAAAGGAGACAACCAACAGTTCTAATCAGCTCTGACATCCATGAGGTACAAGAACCAGCATGACATGATAAGCTTCAGGGCACAGTAGTGGCATGCACGAGCACACCTGAATGGTAACCAACAGCTCTCCAATTGGACTTGCTTCATTTCTGAAGTTTCAAAAAAGTAGAAAAATATATAAACTCTTGTTTAAAAATTTGAAAACAAGTAGAAGTCTCATTTTTCTCCTGAACAGCAATCTTTCCTTTCTCCCTCCTTCCCTTCCTTCCTTGTTTTCTTCCTTCCTTTCTTTGCTGGAGAGTGACTCCAAGCTTCATACACTCTGCTGCTCACCTACATCCCTGTCACTCAGTTACATATTTTGTCTTTACTTCCAATATTTGAGACATTCTTTAATGATCTTAAAGTAATAGTCTTTTCAAAATGGAGTCATTTGTGAGTAATGAATGATTAAAATAACTGAAGACATACATGGAGGAAACATAAACACACGTTTGTCCTGTATTGCAATTACAAGGCTATCTCTTAATCACTTTTCTCTTTTATGGGTATTTGTGTTGCCCACTACTATATTTTTCAATTGTAAAACATTATGAAATACAGAAACCCCCAAAGGAAAAGAAGATACTTTCACAAATTGTTTTCTTCATGAAATACAATGTTAAAAAACATAATTTTTAAAAAGTCACACATACCACAAATAAGCACTTTAAGAGAAGTCTAGATATTTTTAAAACAGCATTACACATATCTGACGTACTTTTCATAGGAGGTTGATGGCTATTACCTGCAGATTTTTGAGTGATCTGAAAATTACTTTGAGTATCATATTTAAACAACTATTATCACTTATCATGTTCAATGGAAGAAGATGAAATTGTTTAAAGCTTGTTGTGTTCAGCAACTCACAACCACAGACACATTCTGCCAAGGCAACCAGCCCAATAGCACTCTGGGACAAAAAGTCCCACAGTGCAAGATGAGACCATTCCTGGAAGCGTATCTGGCTGGACTAGGAAAATCCATTTCAGTGACATTAAGTCAGTCCCATGTGACCACTGGGTTTCTAAGGGAAAAGGTGGTCTTGGGACACAGTACTACTAGGTTCCTGGCAGGTAACAACCTGTACAGGTCAATTGGACTTAACTGAAAATAAACAGTAACAATATGTTGCTTTTTAAGTAGCATATGGAGAGTAAAATAAATGACAAAATTAATATCAAGGATGGGAGAGAATAATTGGAATAATTCTAAGACTTTTTCACTGTGAAAAAAGAGAATTGTTTTTATAATAATATGTCTTTTATTAAAAACAAATGATGCTATAATAATTACACACACAGTCCATTAAATTAACCTTTATTTACACACCACACCTTATAGAAAACTAACTCAAAAGAGGTCATACTCTTAAACATAAACTGTAAAACTAAAACACTGTAAGAAACCATGGAAAGAAATCTTGATTTTGATTGTTTTGTATTGGGAAGAGTTTTTTGATATGATGTATAAGCATAGTCAAGAAAGGGGAAAAAATGTGATTAGTATTAAATTTTTGCCATTCAGAAGTTTTAAGTTGAAAGGTCAAGGAAAGACCCAGGTACAAAAGCCTATGCAGTCTAGGGAAGGAAGGAATGATGGTGCCTGGGAAGTAAACTAGATGATGGGGCCCTCCAAGACTGGCAGCAGCAGAACATGTGCTACCCAGAGCTAATGAAGCCAGAGAATCCAGTGATGCCAGGCCAACCAGAAAGAGCTAAAACTACAGAAGGAAGCTTCCACGACCTACTTTGTTTGAAGGGAGAGCGTCTCCCAGCAAAACCACAGGGAGCAAAGACTTTCTCAGGAAGGAAAATATCTGCCCTTAATCACCAGCCTCTACCACCTAGATGCCTGTGCTCCCATTTGGAATACAGAGTGGGGCAAGGTACCTGGGCTGCGTGTTTCAGAGAAGCTAGGCTCTCAGAGAACCCAGTGGGAGAGGCATAAAAGTGAATGACAGTTAAATGAATTGGAGGAGATAACACTCAGTTGCTCCTCTTTCTCGCTTGGCTTCTATTGTCAGCTCCTTAAAATACAAAAGCATTTCCAATACAGAAGAAATACAAAGTGTCACCACTGTAGCTGGCACTTACAGATTTGCAAGGAAATGTCAATTCAGTTACAGTTCCACTGGATCATAGATGGTGCAGGTGGCGACTTATTTTCCTGTTCACCACTAAGTGGCCTGAACTCCCTCTTCAGAGCCCTTGAGGGAAAATTTACAGTGTCATGTGCTATGGCCACTTGACTAAGTCTAGAGGCCACTAAAATGCAAGCTGCTGGCATTTCTAAGACAGACTTTCTTAATCAGGTTATTTGAAGTGGGAAGACCCACCCTAAATGTGGCTAGCAGCCCAGAAATAAAGAACACAGAAGAAGGAAACCTGGGTTTTTGATGCCTTCCTTCCTTCCTTCTGCCTCCTCCTCCTCCTTGTTCTTTTTTTTTTTTTAACTGTGTCATAAAGGGTGTTAAAACATTCCTTTTAATTACAATATAATTACAAAACGTCTCCCTTCCCTTTTCTTACTCCAACCTCTCTCATGCCACCCTTCAAACTGATGACTTCTTTTTTATTATTATTATTGTTTTATATACACACACACACACATACACATGCGTAAAAATATATAAATGCAACCTGAGTCTGGGTAGTGTGGTTTGTGTGTATGTGATTTCAGGGCTGACTACTTTTCATAATATAACCAACCTCTCCGAGGGGCCCTTCCTTGGGAGAGACTAATTCTCCCTCTCCCAGCAGCCTTTAGCTATCAGGCAACTACTTTGATTATTTGGGTCTTGTTTAGATAATCATACAGCTCAAGTATTATGGGTATAGCTTCCTTTTCATTTCTAGGACACAAAGTCATACAGCAGACTTCCTACTCCTCTGACTCTTAAGATCTGCCTGTTCTCTCTCCCATGATGGTTGCTGAGACTTAGGTGCAGGAGTTGTGTGAGCTTAATTCTTGGTTACAGGTTTATTTGTTCTGTGGCTGCTGCATTCCTTCACTGATATTAGGACCTGCTTCATTGGGGGCCAAATACAGACTGAAGACCAGCATCTCTCCAGGAATCCTCCAAGCCTTAAGAATCATAATGGGACAGCTGAGATTTCCAGTCTAACTGGCTGAGCAATTACTGTATCCTTGGCCAATTCACATAGTGCTTGGTTTCCTCAGCACCTGTGCAACCATGGTTCAACACTCTATAGCTCAGACTCTTAGATGTTGAATGCTTGTAAAACCTTAAGTTCTGCTACCAGCTTGAGATGTATCATATCTGCATTTACCGTAGCTGCACAAGCTTCTGATGGGTCTGGTAAAACAGCTGGACTGTTAGAAGGCTGTTTTGAACTAGAAAAACAAACAAACAAACAAACAAACAAACAAGCACGCACTAGCGTTCTGCTTTCAGCCACTCTCCTGCTGCGTTTTATGCTTTAGAGCTTTTTATAGATGCAGGGCAATAACCTCTGTGGGGAGTTCAGTTCCATCCCTGGTCAGGTGGTCTTGGGTTATATAAGAAGGTAGTCTGAGCAAGTCATGGAAAGCAAGGCAGTAAGCAGATTTCCTCCACAATCTCTATGCCGGTTCTGCCTCTAGGTTTAGATGCCTGTGTGAGTTCCTTCCCTGGTTTCCCTTGATGATGGACTGTGACCTGGAAGCTGAAATAAACCCTTTCTTTACTCATCCCCCCCCCCCACCCCCATTGCTTCTGGTCAGTGTTTCATCATAGCAGCAGGGACGCCAACTTGGACAAATGCCTACTCTGTGTTATTTCAAATAGTGTCTTGTCTTACCCAGGCCTGGTTTTGCTTCGAGTCTAGTGACTTCTTGTTACTGAAGTCTTCTCTGACATTTATGCTCAGTATTTTACAAATTTTATACATTAGTTGTAGGCTGCCATTTTTAAAAAAAAAAAAAATTGATTTACTTATCTTCCTAAAGGCCCAGTAAATTCCTTGGACATGGAAATTGTGTTTAAGGTTTTCATGAGTTTCCTCTTTCCCATGCATTCCCAGTAGTGGTGAGAAGACATGGGTGATGCTCAGTACATGTTCATGGGATTGGACTGTCAGTCTGGCCGCCTAGTGTGTTACCAGGTGCTTTCTTGCTTTCCTGTCTTTGCCTAATGTCTCCTTTCTTGCTTAATTGCCATCCAGACCAGCCCCTTAGCATTCCGCACTCCTTTATTGATTCTGTAAAGCCTGAGATGGGTCTCAGAGTAGAGGATGGGATGCACTGCTTGATTTGTTTTTCTTTTAAAAGCCTGTGCTGAGAAGAACAGCAAAGCAGACGTCTTGGGCAAAGCTGAGGTCTTGAGTGTTAGAATCAGGACTGCAGTGGTGTTCCAAATCCCCAGGGCTGGAGTCAGTACACAGAAGCAATGCAGACATTCCGGGGTTCTTATGGAACTGTCCAGGCAACAGTGAAATTTCATGACAGCTTCATAATTATAGTCCAAAGTTTCCACAGAGTTCAGTTTATAAATCTGGATTGTGCGAAATTGTGAGGAAACCAGTTAGCAGCAAGACTCATCTTTGATGGCGTGGCTACTGTCTGCTTATTGTTAGCACACAGCTGTCGGATGCACGGCTCCTCCTTTACTCCATGGGGTTAATGACTGTGTAATCTGCCTAGACTCCCACAGGAGAACTGTGATCCCCAGCAGTTCCCTGAGCTTTCAATTGCTACATGAGGTGATTGCTCCAGAGCCTTCACACTCTGGCTGGAAAGCATTTCAGGAGCTGCCTGAGGAACAGCCCAGGTGAACATACACCACAGACACGGCTGATGAGGGTTCCCGTGTTCTAAGACAGCCAAATATTAAAATGAAGTGTTGGAACACATCTTTTTCTGCCTGGAAAAACAGTCACAAAGCTTTATCTCAGTTTATCACAAATCCTAATATAAGCTTGGATAAATGTTAATTAACTTTTCTTAACTCTCAATATTTGATTAAAAAGACTTAATAGATATCCTCTTGTCTAGTGTGCAAAATATTCTAAGGTAGAAATGTTTTTCCTGAAATTCGATTTGTAATCTAAATTTCAAGATAAAAGATAGCAAATTGAAGTAACTCAACCGTACAAGTCAAATTAACTTAAATTTTAAGTCTTAGTTTCGAAAAAAAAATCTCACAGTAAACAAAGGATCACTCTACATGCATAATGAGATGCAGGATTAAGACAGGCACTTTGTTAATTCAAGCTGGAAATCTCCTTTCCTATAACTTTAATGAATATTTTAGAGAAAAGTACTGAAGTCTAACTTTGTCTGGAAAATTGCCTTGGCTGTTACCAGGGGCTTCTGTGGAGTAAACACTGGCAATATGCCTTTCCCAAAGAAGTTTATAATTTACATTTTAGTATTTGTCACAGACCATTAGATTTATAGACTTCCATTGCCAACCTCCTCTTAATTAAGACAGTCCTGGATAAAGGGATTAACAATTGCTTTTAAATAAGGACGTGTCTCCTTTGTAGTTACGGGTCACATATGTGACTTGTAAACCACAGCAATACATAACCAACATCAATTTAACTTCATATGGATTAGTTTTTAAGACGGTCACTTGCTCCATACCAAGCAGGCCTCAAACTCCATCCTCCTTTGCCTTCTGAGTGATGAGATAAGGCACAGAAGTTTTAGAAGAGACTAGCCCTTACACAGTTCCTTCATGCAAGCTTCCACATTTTTATTTCTTTCTGAGCTGAGACTGATGAACAGAGGGAAAGTTTAGAGCAACCCTCCGCTTCTTTTAGAAAGGATTCTACAGCAAGAGGCTATCTCCATGAGGACTTCAGCTGATTGTATTAAAGTTGTGTTAGAATATTGGACAGGATGGTTCTGAAGACTTGCTGTATAGGAGTCATGATTGTTTTGCAAAAGGGTCACTTCAGATGCTCACCATTACCCTGATGAAACTGCATCTATACCAACATGCCCTAGGTTAACTATGCTTTTTAAAATCTCTTCAGATGGGCTAGATGGAGAGCAGGGGAGGGGACCACATGAAGGTGACTACCTTGGAAGAGGGAATGCATAGTTGATTCAAATTTGAAAATACATCATATTTATTTCAATGCAGATGTTTAGACTGAAAACAGTTTCTATTTTGACAGTCTTCCCATGGGTAATTTTTATATTAGTGTCAATGGTGGTAGCTATCTCTGCTCTACTTGATCTCTGTCCTGAGTTTAAACAAACTGTAACATCTCATTGGAAGTAGCATTATTGATGTAAAATACAAAGATAGCTGGAGATGGGTTGCAGTGACTAACTGTGATGACTTCCTATGGACTGTTTGCAAAAATGTTTCGTTTTGTTTGTAATCTGAAGAGCAGAAATTCTGATTTACTTTCCCCTGATCATTTTATCCTCATAAGAGGACACTGGGGTCCTTAGCAGAAATGAAAATACCTACATCTGAATCAAACCAGTGTGCTTCAGAGAGCACAGGAGTTGCCAGAAGCAGAACTGAGTGCTGTGGGGTGGGAATGGGCTTGAGAGAGGAGGGGACAGCTTTTTCACTCCTGGTGTTGGCCAGGGAGAGGCCACACTTACCTCTCTCCTCATTCCTTGTTCCGCCCTCTCTGTTCCTGCTTTCCCTCTCTCCCTCTGTCTAGACCCTGCCCTGACACGCTGCCTCACTCCCATTTCCTTCCTCTTCTCCTTGTTTCTTATCTCCTCTCTCTCCCTCTCTTCATCTCTCCCCACCTTTCTTTCCCACTTCCCTCCCTTCCCCTCTTACTTCCTGCCCCCTCTTTCCCACCTGCTCTCCCTTCACCATCTTTTTAACCTTCTTTCCATCACTTTCTCTCTCTGCCTCTCTCCCCTCCAGCCCTCTCTTTACCTCCTTGTCTCTTCCCCCTTCTTCCCTCTCTCCCTATTCCCCTTCTCCCTTTCTCCTTTCCCCTCTCCCTTTCTTTTCCTCTTCCCCTTCTCCATTTCTCTCTCTTCTTCTCTCCTTCTTTCCCTCTCTTCCCATGCCTTTCTTCTCTCTTCCTTCTCTCCCCTTCCTTCCTTCTTCTCATCTCTCCCCTTCTCCTCCCTCACCCCCTTTCCTTCTCTTGGCAGCTCAAGTAATGCTCTCCACTCCAGGCAGCTCCTTTGACCTAAGCAGCTTATTGTAGCTGCCTAAAGGACAATCATGACCCAGGCGGTCAGCCCAGCCTTTCAAGGAAGAGATTTGTATCCAAATAGGACACTAAGCCTCTCAGCCTTCTGCTTACTTACCTTGTCAGCAGGATGCACGTCTCTGGGTGCTCCACAGACTCCTGGGGATCTGGGTAGAAACAAAAGCCCGTGTCAGTCGCTGCAAATGTGGGAGTCTGTTCCATTAAAAGGAGCAGTTGTTAATAAGGGCCCGTGAGACCTGGGTTTCCTTGGTTTCCATGACAGTTATTAGGTACCGTAGAAATTGAATTGTCTCCCATGATGCTCTTAGGGGAGGGGGATGCATGAGTGACAAAGCAGGGCAGTTATGACTTGCAGTAAATCGTCCTTTTGAGAATGTAATACTCCTTGGGTTATCTTTCTTACATATTTTTAAAAATTTCCTTTCAGTGTGCTTAGCCACTGCTGTACAGTGTCTCCAACACTATTTTCCTCCTTTTTCTTTAGATCCAAGTTTGGCAAAGCAAGGATATGAACAGTTCTGCAGGTGGGCTTCTCAGGGCGAGTGAAGCCATAAGGCGTCCAATCAGGGTTTGGCCACCTGCAGCCCTGCCAATATGCCCCTCCACCAGATTTCTGTAATCCCAGCCCGGGAGACAGCCAGCAATGGGAGAAGTTCAATGGGCAGAAACAAAGAGAAGAACAAGGAAGTGGAGGTAAGACGTGGTTTGATTTGACACAATGAGAGAACCCACAGAGCCAGCTCAGCTCTGTCTGTACCACAGGATATAGCATGAACTGAAGAGCAGCTGGCTCCCAGCTCCGTGTGCACTAGCGGATTGAATCATTTCGTGTGTGACTAAGGAGCTTATAAATCTTAACTATTTTCTGAATGAAGCAACGAACTGAATCTATAGAGATACTTGCTACTTGATAGATGTAAAACTTCTGCCTCCTTGGCTGAACTCTACAGAATCTCTTTCTATATATATCTATTTCTGTAAATAGAGACTCTTTCCTGATTCTTGAGGTAGAACCGGGAGGTTCTGGGTTGCTTGCACATACTATTGTTGTCCATTTTTTTTTTTTTTGGAACTATTGATGCTAATTGTGTCCAGCTGGGGGGTTTGAAAATAACTTTCTTTACAAAGCAGCGCATCTTCCTGGGCTAAAGAAAGCTCTCACATCTAATGCACACTTATTGTGTGGGGATCTACTGTTCTCCATTCCTTATGTCTTGTGTATGGGATTTTGGCACTGATGTCTGTTCGTTTGTGTTTTATTTAAGAAAGAGTCGTTTAAAACCTAACATAGCCTATAATATTCACTGTATTACATTCAGGCTTTATGCTGAAGTGGAATTAGCAACCATTCCTATAAGGTTAAACTGCTTGAAAAATCAGACACTGGGAATTATTTCAATGGGTTTTAAAAAAGAAACTGAACAGAGTCAAGGGCATTGCATGAGATTATTATGAGTACAGTAATGACTGGAGTTAAGGCAGAATGCCAGGTGGGCAGAGCATGTTGCAAAACTGTCAGAACTTGGGCAGCTGAGGCTGGACGTTCCTGAGTTCAAGGTTACTTTGGGCTGTAGGGGATGATACTGTCTAAAAGACAAATAAAAGGAAAAAGCATGACAAAGTCTGGAGGCTTCTTGGTTGTTCAAATACGGGTTTTCTAACTCCCAGATATCCCGCACATTTCCTACCTCCAGATCTGTAGCAGAATTTTACTGTTATTATGATTTTTATTTCCTTAAGGATAGGTGTGATGACAAAGGAAACAACAAACACAAATAAAACAAAAATGTAAATAAAATGGAGGTGTCCGGAATTTCCTAAGAGGAATAAAATAAGTTTGACTCTATCTTCAAATGCAAAGGACATTTATAGCCTCTGCCTATTTATGTGACTGGTTATAAATGTGCCATTCAAAAGCAATGATGTTATCAGAACTTACAGAAAACCCCAGGAGTCCTCTGCCTTGAATTCACTGCAGAAAATGCTTTTAGTTTAGCAGTTGTCTTGCCAACTGGGAATCATATGTCTCTGAAATTCAAAAGCTTTGTGAAAGTAATTAATCAGGCCAGTATCACTTGGAAAGAGTTTTGTTAATACGATTCTTCCTATGACTTGGTAAGGTGATTGTAGGCTTCCAGCACTGTTTCCTAAGATTTGGGGCATGTTGAAAAGGAAAGAGATGATAGTGGTCAGTTCCAAAACTATGAGATGTTGAAATAAAGATCAATGCATAAGTTTGAGGCTAACTGAAGAAAACTTTCTGCAATGATGTTGGATGTCAATTTTGTTTGCAAGTCAAAAAAATGATCAGAAATGAATAATGAATCATAGAGGCAGATGATCGTTATAGGTTTAAGGACATCTGGGCTAGGTAGTAAGTTCCAGGCCAGCCTGGTTTCAGAGTCTCAAAAACAGTACTCTTTCACTTCCTAGTCTTCACTAGAAAACTACTGTCGATTTCTCCTTGGTATGGGTTGGAGTAACTGGCATGGCTTGTATAAGTTTTGAAAATCAAAACGCTTTCCTTTTCCAAATAATAAATATAAATGTAATTATTCTACCTCTATCTCATGTAAAATGGTCTCAGTGTTCATGTCCATATCCACATCTCACATCCTTCCAGCCTCAATTTGTGATCACCTGTCTCTTTCTGAGGCAAATCACCTTCCTATTGTGACTAAATGTACGGGGGTCCACCTGAACACTGGCTGGATGCCAAGCCAGTAAGCACAGCCAAGATCAAAGAGTGGAAAGAGATTTGCAATGTACAATCAATAAAGAAAGTGTTACTGGAAACAATTTGGAAAGTGGTATTCTCTAGCAAAGAAATAAAGGCCTTCACTGAGGAAGTTATGTATCTTCATATCAGGAAGACCCATCAAATGTAGCAGCAAGAACATCCCGAACATCTCAGTTTTGGGTCATAATCATGCCTTTAAAAGTGGAAGACACCAGTGCCTATGGACAGATAACTTATCATAATTGGAAAAATTCATACTAAGTCATTTCAAGAGCCAGTTAAAATAATTGATTTCTGCTAGTTCATTCTGAGTTTCTCCAGACAGCCTTAGCTAAGGCACAGAAAGAGCTTTGCATTTAGCAGTCTTTAAACACCCTTTACCCCAGAAAGTTTAAGCACCTGTCCCAGAATGTGCTAATACTGTTTTATAATGAGGATCAGTTGGCATTTTGAAAGGAAAAGGATGATAGGAGAAAACGAAATTTTTTAAGAGAGATATTCCTAAGTGTTGGAACAGGAGGCACTTTAAGGATTTCAAATGCATCTTTGTTTTCTACAGAATGATGTCAGAAGTTCTTGTGAAAAAGCATGTTTAGTTTCTCTTTTAAATGTAGAGGGCATGAATTGTTTCACTGATGAATTAAGTAGTCTTAAAGGGTCACACATGCCATTCAAGCTGGACAATTTAAGCTGCCCCCATCTTGAACATTAAAAAGTAGGATTATTTGGTACTACATAATGACTTCTGTATGTTCAAGTGGTGGCTCTTGTTCACAGGTGGTAACAGGCCTCCTGTGAACATTTCCTGATTGTTGATAATTGAGGACTATCCTTTGCGGTTCACTGAATGCTTTCTACTTAGAGTTATTCAAAGAATCAATCTGCATATTAAATAAGAGATACCACTTCAGAATTAGGGGTTTGCTCAATTGTAACTCAACTTAATCTTCCTTCCACAACATACACAGAGATCCTAGAATCTATTAATAATTTGACAACAGTGTTTTTGTTTTTGTTGTTGTTGTTGTTGTTGTTGTTACTGATGCTTGGGTTTGCTTTATTTTGTGGCAAAGAAAGAGAAAATGAATGTTGAAATGTTTTATTAACTGTTATAATTCAGAAGACCTAGGTGGTAAAAAGGAATTAACAGATTAAGTAAGATATTAAGAAATTCTAACCTCAACTTCTATAATGAGTCTATATTTTGATGTATCTTGCATGACATCAAGTTGCAAGTTTTACCTATTTGGTCAACACCAGAACTACAGAATCAAGGTAATATATGTCCAGTTTTAGTCAAGTTAGTGTCAAGTGTGTGGGTGGATGTTGCCTTCGAGTAGAGGCAGCAGCAGTTCTAGGTTGCTGGGACATTTAAAAGGGAGCTCTATAAATCAACCCAATAGGTTGTTTTCAAAACAGAAGAGAAAAGAGGATTTGAAGTTGGAAAGGTATGGAAGAGGAGTTTGACAAGGGGAGTGAGGGTGAATTTGATCAAAATACATTGTATGAATGTATGAAATTCCCAAAGAATAAATAAAATATAATAGTTTAAGGAGAGGAAAGTGTCTCATTTGCATTCAAGATGCCTGATTTTCTTATAGCCAAGGTTGTATTAGGACACTTAGTATAACCACCACAGCAGCTCCTTCCTTCTGAAATAGATACATGTGGTTTATAAAATCATAGATTTAATATAACACAATTCATGTAACTGCACTAATTTGTGTCTGGAGGTAGAGATGGATATGTAATAATTAGTTTCAAAAGGCATGTGTGTAAGCTCCAGAGACATCTAGAGGGGAAGCCAACAGTGTGACTCCCCTCGGTAGCATATAATTAATGTGAAATGGCTTGTTGGGGAGATAATTCATTTATGCCTTGGAGAAACCAAGACCTTGGGGAACCCAGGAGAAGATGCCTTGCTCATGCATAGATGTACATGTTTTCTTTTATGTTATAGATTGATGCTTTAAGTTTCCTTTGCTTACATTGTCAATAGACAACTTTGTTTCTACTAATCTATTCTTTCCTTCCAATACTAATGTTACTTATTAAGGTTTATTATTACTACCAATGATGTTTCTAGAATTTCATACATGAGTATAATATATTTTCATCCTACCCATTCTCCCTTTCTCCAACTCCTCCTAAGTCTTCCCAACATTCCATTCTACATTAATGCCTTCTTTTTCTATAAATATTAACACACATCAATTATATCTATATCTATATCTATATCTCTATCTCTATCTCTATCTATCTATCTATCTATCTATCTATCTATCTATCTATCTATCTATCTATCTATCTATCTATTCCAGGTAGTGTTGACCACCTGTAAGCATTGATGTAGGCCTGACTACTTGGGCATGGTTAGCCTATCAGGAAGCTCAATCCTGAAAAGACTGACTCTGTCTCTCTCAGAAGCCAACTGCCTATAACTCTTCTCATTAAAGTT